GCGCATTTTTATGTATTTTTATTTAAAAATTACCTTAAAAATATTTTTTTATTAAAAGATTATATTGTGTGTCATCTAATCAATATACCCACAAAAAATGAGATGACTATGCCCTATGAGCATGAAGACAAACACAGGACACAGCCTTAACATTGGCAACTTATGAAAAACACCCTTGATATTCATTATTTACAATAGGCAAATTTTAAAACTAGAAGACTAAAAAGCTTCCCAAAAAGGGTTCAGAAAAAATGAAACAGGAAAGATTTTTCAAAAACTAACCACTTACATTATATCTCTATTCTTAGGCGGAGGACCCATTAGACTATAGTATAATCTCTCTGTTCCATTCCCTCTTCCAATAACTCTCCACCTCTTTTCCCCCAAGTACTGTTTCGTCTTCTTCTTCCCCATTTTCTCAAACAAGGCAAGAGCTACAACATAATATCAGTCGTTATTGTTGTTCTATTTTAGAATTAGGGAGTTTAAAGCTCGCTCTTCACTGCATTGCCTTGTCTAGCTATACTGTTCTACTGCAATCTCTCATGACAATATCACTGTTTTCGATCAAAATGATGCGGGCGTAAGCTATGGATCTTACAAGTCCCAACTACTTTCAGTCTCCTTCTCTGTTTTCATCTAATGGGGTAAGTAAAGATAATAACTTTTAGTAAAGATAAGAACTTTTAGTTTGATTCTTTTCTGCTCGCAGTTTTCCCCAATTGGGTTCTGGTTCATTTTTGTTGTTAAGGATATACAAGCACCGCCATTCTTGTTGCAGGGTAGTCCGAGCTTCTATGGGAGAAGTGAAGGAAACCCATTTGCTGCAGAAAACTTCCCTGACCCGCTTTGCAAGCTGAATCTTAAAGAGACTTCTGAGTTTGTGAAGTCACTGCCTATGCCGGCGGTTTCAAATGCGGTTCCTGCTCAGAGGAGGAGAGATGGAAACTCAGTTACGCAGAGGAGAATGGAGGCTCCATCTACACCTGGTAGACCAGTTTTCAGTTTTAATGCAGGGAATTTATCCAGAAAAAGTTTCCCTTCAAAGTGGGATGATGCAGAGAAATGGGTAATAAGCAATTCTTGTCATGATTCTCCTGCTCATTCCATCAAACCACCGCCTCAATCATACAAACAATATGATAGCTTTAAGCATAGAATGGAGGTGGTGGTGGCAGAGAAATCACGGGTGACGGAGGAAAAAGTCTCCAAGATTGTCTCAACTTTCCGAGGATCTGTAACTTTGGACCACCGCCATCACAATCCTGCAAGCACTTTTAATGGGGTCTCAGCCTCAAGTGATGTACTTTTAAAAGGTAAAATCTTTATTTGAACTATAATTATCTCACCCCTTTTGACTTTTCTCTCTTCTCCTCAAGTTTGTCTCTTTCTTTTCTCTTCCTGCCTTTTGAAACCCTAATAAAGCATTGAACTTCGCTACCCAGATGTTATTATTCACTGGCTTTTCTTTCTTCTACTCAAACTTTTTCTCTTTCCTCTTTCTTCCTGCCTTTTGAAACCCTAATAAAAACATTGAACTTTTCTATACCCAGATGTTATTATTCACTACTATATATGCTCAAGAACTCTGCTTTTCCTTTCAAGAAGATTCAACTCATATTGAAAATTAGTCTTTCAAGCTAGTTATTTAACTTTGTTAATGGCTGTAGATAAGTTCACAGACGAAGTAGAACCAGTTTTACCCGATTATCAATACTCAGAGCCATCAAAAGAAGGGTTTCTTTTCCGAAACTCAGCCCGGGGAGCCATGAAAGATGCAGGCACTGAGGTACAACACAGAGATATTGGAACAGAGATGACACCTCTTGGCAGCTCCACCACTTCAAGATGCCACACCCCTTTCAAGAGTTCATCGCCTGCACGTCATAACACGCCGGCAAATAGATCTGGTCCATTGGCATTAACTCACCCAACTAGCCCCAACAGCACCATTGACATTGCTCATTTTCAAGAATGCCATTTAGCCAAGCTACAAGTTGGCACTCAGTATGATTCTATCACATCAAATTGGAGCTCAAGGGAAGAGGAAGAAGAAGAAATATCAAAGAGTCTCAGACATTTTGAAACAGGAAGTGGGCGCAGAACAAGTGTTTCAGATTCAAGACTTTCTACTTGGGTTGATGAGGAGAAGACTAAGTGTTGCCTGAGGTATGGTAAATTCTTAAAGGGTACATTTTAATCATGTAAAAATTTTGAGGGTTTAGGCTGTTTTTCTCAGATACCAGAGAGAAGAAGCAAAGATCCAAGCTTGGTTAAATCTTCAAACTGCAAAAGCAGAAGCTCAATCAAGAAAGCTTGAGGTACTCTCTCCGTTTCTCCTTCGCTTGTTTTGTTCCAAGCATTATTAGTTGCAGTTGTTTAAGATTTGTTCATGTTAATGTGGATTGATTTTGGGTGCATCATCGGGAATATTATGTACATATTCTGTAGAATATTATGGGGTGAGAAACCTTATATCGGGTTTACAATTCTATGGGTGATGTAATATCATTTTCCATCATAGTCTAGAGTTGTTAAATTTTTGTTTTTTTTTATTTTGCTCTTTATTTTGTGTAATTTAGTGTTAATTGGAGATTTATTTTCTCTGTCTTTTAACATGGAATTCAATGAAAATTAAAACACTTTTTAGTCAAATTATTTACCAAATCATGTTATAAGTTTCCTTCAATGAGTATCTGGTAGTTGAATCAGCAAGTTATTATGAGTTTCTATTGGTTTGATGTGGACATATGAACAAGGTATATATATAAATATATGTAAATATATGTATATGTATGAAGTGTATATATTATTAGTGTTGACCGTAAATAGATGAAAGATGGATTATTATCGCGCTGGTTGAGCTTTCTCCTCGAGCCACCCGCAGAGGTTGAAGACAGCCTGACCCTTTTGTTTTCTTGACTGGTCCACCATAATTCAATATGTACATATACTTGCATGCTTCAAAAGTGATGATGGTTTCAGTATTTTATGCTACATTCCCACGTGAAAATGATCAGGCGTTTGGAAATTTGTGGGAAATTGGAATATTCACTTCCCTCTGAATTTAATAAAGAAATAAATATAATAATAATTTTTAGGTGAAGATACAGAAGATGAGATCAAACCTAGAAGAGAAGTTGATGAAGAGGATGGCAAATGTTCATAGAAAAGCAGAAGAATGGAGAGCAGCAGCTTGGCAACAACACAAAGCTGGTGATGAACAAGCTCACAAGATGATTCACAGACATAATTATATTATTTCTGGTCACACCTCCTGCGGTTGCTTCCCTTGACAATATATATATATATATATTATATCCCCATTTCTGTATCTCTTTCGGATTACGCATAAAATTGACTTTCTCTGGCTTGATCTCCATTTCCCAATTCAATTTTGCTATTAAAAATTAATCTAAAACTAAAAATTTTATGTGGGTTTTTAGAATCATGTTAAGAAAATATAGAAGAGATAATGGATTATGTAAGTGGGTTTTGGAAAGTAATCAAAATATATTGGCTATGGAGGAGTGTGGCAGCTTTTATGGTGGTGTATAAGTGTTCATCAGAGGAGATTGTTGACTGGCAAAGGATCTAAAGCTAAGATACTGTCTGTGTCTTTATGTCTCTGTTTACCAGTTTAGCTTTGAACTTTTTCTTGCACCATTTTCTGTGTCTCGTCTTTCTGATTCTTCACATCAATACTGCTACTACCTAGTCTTCCCCAGTATCATGTCCTGCATTTTTCTCAGTCTACACTATTGTAATTTATGTTAAAAATTGTTGTTAAAACATGTATTTGATTAAAAATATTTTTAATTAAAAATTATTTAGTGTTATATAGAAATAATTATAACAATTATGTTAATTTAATAAAAAGTAGAAGCTGCATTATATTTATTACTGTGAGTTTTTAAATTATTGTTAAAATTGTTATTGATTAAATTTTTTTTTAATAAAAAATTATTTTGTATTTAATAAAAATAATTATAGAAATATTATTAATTTAAAAATATAGAAATTGTATATTTAGGCAAAATGATTTTTGAAATTTTAATTATAATTTTTAGTAAAAACTAAAATCATATTATAAAAGTTATACACTAACTTTTGTATCTAAATATACTAAAAGTAAATAATTTATGTTTAATGTTGAATAATCTGATATAATGAAAATATTTTTAATATGTTTAATGTGGTAATTTGTAAAAATTATTTAATATATTTTGCATTTAAATTTTAATGTAATTTAATTTAATTTTTAATTGATTAATTTGTTTAATTTTTAATTTTTTTTGGACTGAAGTTAGATAAATAAGATTAATTTTTTTGAGTTGGGTAAAAAAATGAATATTTACATGTAATTAAGAGAGAGAGAGAGAGAGAGAGAGAGAGAGAGAGAGCAAGTAAAGGATCATGCCATGGCTCTATTAGGCCCATTCAGCTCATTACGTCTAAAGGAAGTCCAGCATAAAGGCCCATTTTCAGCCCATTATGTCTAAAGGAAGTCCAGTGCAAAGGCCCATTTTCACCCCATTATGTCTAAAGAAAACCCAGCGTTTAGGCCCATTTTCACCCCATTATGTCTAAGTTTGACCCATTTGCAGCTCATTATGTCTAAAGGAAGCCTATAGGCCCATTTTCATCCCATTACGTCTACAAGAAGTCCATCGTGCAGCCCAAAACGACCGGGGTTTCACCAAAAAAAAAACGAAACGTACTGTTACCGGCTTTAACATCAACGAAACGTTTCTTTACTTGGCTCGTCTCCCAAGAAAAGAAGCTTGTCGAGAAAAGCAAAAGAGAGAAACTCTAGCAGAGAGTTAGATTACTTGTCTCTTACACACGCACGAAGGTGAATTCTTCATCTTCCCTTTGCTCCTCCAATTAATAGATTTCGTTTTTGTTTCAATTACTGATATTTCTATTTATTTAGGGTTTTATATTCGACATTCAAGACAATAACGATGTTTCTCACCAGGTAAATTAATCTACATTCTCAATTCTCCGCTTCGATTCATCTCCTCTGCTGTACTTATTCATTTCCTTTTCAAATGAACTATATTACTTTTCTGGAGCTCGTAATCCTTTTATTTGCTTTCTGTTGTGATTGATCCGTTAAGGACCGAGTATGACAGAGGTGTCAACACCTTTTCTCCCGAAGGAAGATTATTTCAGGTTGAGTATGCCATTGAGGCCATCAAGGTAACCTAGTCCTTCCCCATTTTCTTCCGAAAATCATGATTTTTTAAGCGTGCTTAACTAACTTGTGAATTTAAACTTGGTTAATTGGTTTTTTTTCTTTTGATTGAATATCTCAGTTGGGTTCAACTGCAATTGGGTTGAAGACAAAAGATGGCGTTGTTCTGGCTGTTGAGAAGCGTATTACTTCACCACTACTGGTTGATTCTCTTGCTTCTATCTCTCTTTTTTATATGTTATTGCGTCATTTGTTAGCAATGCCTTTTAAATTTGTTTGATCACTTGGCTAAGCTAGTATGTAGGTATCTTAGCTATTTTTAGTGCTAAGTTTCTGTTACTTGATAATTTGTTTGGCCTCAACTTATGTAGTTGTATACTGTTTACAGTCGTAGTGATGCAGAGAGGTTTGATTAGCTATGTTGTTTTTCATATATTTGGAAATATGTATTTTTCAAATTTAGAATTGCAGGTCTTATTTCATTAAGATTACGTTCCAGTACTTTTCTTGTATTTTGGACTTTTGATATTTTTATTTTTTGTGATTAAATTTTGGACTTTTGATAATAGTGTGGACAGGAGTCTATTATTTAAAATTTATAATAATATTGAGATTTTATGCAGCATTTAAGAGTTCCGATTAGGTTTCAAGTCCTATAGATTTGTCTGTGATGCATTTGTTTTTACATATGATATCTACCTTTAAAGTCTTATTTCTAAAGGAGGTAGACTATTCCTAATTTGTCTTAGGCCATTTAGCTCTTGCTTCTTACTGCAGCACGACTTACAGTAGAAGTAGTAAACTTTTGGCTACATTGAATAGAAAGTTATTGTATTTGTTCAGCTAGTATTTTCTTCGGCTTTAAGTAAAATCCAGCCAAAAAGTCCAAACAAACATAGCCAGAATTTAATATCAAACAATTTTTAGAATGTTATCTTATGCTATATATATGACGCATGCAATGACATAAGAAGTCTCTATGAAGATTGGACAATGTAGCAGTCTTTGCTTCTGTTTCTGCCCCTAGTAAATATTTACTTATCAGGTTCCCCTTTCCTTGTATGTACGTTAATAGTCAGACATAGTGATGTTGATAAAGCTTATTTTGATGAGCTTTTAGTGTATATATGTTAAAGAACGCGAATTGTATTGTAACAACTCCGGAAACATTTAGGGGAAATAGATAATGATTTAAGTGCGGAAACGAAATAAAAGGTTAAAGTTTGCATCCCTTACATAATAATTTAAAAGTAGTAAACAGTATTACGGAATTCATTTTTTGAAAGAAACATAAGAAATAAGGAAACAAACGGAAAATAACAAATATGTAGCATCTATTCGCAATTTTCTTGCGGATCAGGCTCTGGAACCTAGTTTTCTTGATCTGAAATGGTTAATAAATGATGAGTTATAGTAGCGCAGTAAGGATATCACACTATATCACTGACACAGAAGTAAAAATTGATATAAAATCGAAAACCACTAATGGAGCATTAAATTTAGCAAATTCATTTCTCAATCATAAAATCATTTCTCGTTCACTTACTATAGTGGAATTTATGAAAACAACCTGTAAGAACAATAATATCATATAGATCAACATTTTATACATGATCAGCTATCATAGTACATATTATAAATCCATATCCATTATCAATAAACCCAACAATAATTACCATTCTTTCCACCAGCCTGCTGGTATCCATGGGGGTTCATAGGGATGCCCTCGTTACATATGAACCCTTTCATTTATCATTCTCAATTATGGGCCGTCCCCATACCTCATTCGATATGAGTGCCAATTTACTAAACTTCAATACCTCGTCTGGTATGAGCACCAAATTATCAAGTTTTCATACCCCATCCGGTATGAAACAACGTTTACGGTAGGGTTCCTTATGTACCTGATCTGTCCACCATCTTACAGGATATCCAGTAAAACTGTCGTTTCATCTAATTATTTAATCACATAATTTCTTTACTGTTTAAACCTCATTTTTCCCGATTCAGCAATAAACACGTAAAATAAACCATACATGCGTTTGAAAGCATAAAAGAAATAAATAAGATACCATCATGTAGGTAAACTGTAAAAACAATCAACAACAGTAATAGATAATTTCCGGTTCTTGCTCCATTAGTAATCCGTAATTAATTATGCATGTTTGCTAAAATCGCACAAAATACCATATTATTATTTATTTAAACGTCAGTTCTATGATAGAGAATAGGGTGATGGATCCTTACTCGATTTGACAGCCGAAAAGTTAAACTGTTTACTGCGCTTACGGGCGGTTCTTGGGTTTCTTAAATTTTTTTCTGAGAATCGAAACACATTAATAGTACCTACAAATATTCCAAATAAACCCAAAATCAGTACCAGGGCCTACTCGGTCAATTTTGGAATTCCGGCACGGCGCCGCCGCTGCCCGCAGCGACAATCTGCCTCAGGTTGGCCCGATTTTGTATCGATCCTTGTGAGAAAACACGTTAAAGGGTCTCGGTTGACCGTTAAAAACACGAAAAATCAAAACTCACCGGCGGCAGGGCTCTCCAGTGCGGCGGCTCCTCCGGATCACGTTGCGGTTGGGTGTTTTATTTCGGTCAATCTGTAGACAAGAAAACAGTGATCACAACAGTGGAAACATTACGCAAAACAGGAATCGAGAAGGGTCTCATTAGAGGCGTTTTGTGAAATTACCTACAGCGGTGCCGCCGGGCTCCGCCGGTATTTTTCGGCCAATTGGCCGGTCTTTTTGCTCCGATTTGGCCATGCGTGAGCTTAAAATTTAATTTCGTGCAAAATGGGAAGTTTTTACCTTTTTTGGCGGTTGGAAAGGATTCCGGTGCAGCGGCGGGTGGCGGCAGTCGGCTCCTCAGCGACTAGATTGTCTTCTCCGACGAGGGGTTCTGGCGACTAGGATTAGGGTTTGGTGCGGATGAAGATTATTTATATCCATCGCGTTCGATCTGAACCGTCTGATCGCGATTAAATAGGCAGTGAATTTGGACCATTAATCGCGATCCAATCTGGGCTGTCCATCGCGATTCACTCTGGGTCAGCCGATCGTATTTAAATTTGGCCGTTTGATCACGTTTGGGAGTGAGCACATCCAAGCCGTTCGTGCGTGCGGGAAGGAACTCAGCCGTTCGTTCGCAGGCACGCGGATCGTCCACGTGGTCTCCCACGTCAACATCTTTGCCACTTGGCGCGTCCTGGTTGGTCAAGGCTGCTGACCGGGCGTTTGACGTGGCGAAACTTCTCTAAATTGTATTTTAACTCGTGTTTTTCGATTTTTCTTTCAAAAATACTCCTAAAATTCAATTTTTTACCATTTTTTTCCAAAATTATTTTCAATTTAATCCTCTATCAATTTTATTTATTAATTATATTTATTAATTATTTAATTAAAACAAAAATAAATAAATTTGTGGGTGTTACAACTCTTCCCCCCTTAAAAGAAATTTGGTCTCTCAAATTTGTCTCTCACTCTCAATCAAACAGCTGGGATATTGGACTCTAAAGTGTGATTATAGCTCTCATGTAGCCTCCCTCGGTGTGTGGTTCTGCCATATGACCTTTATAAAAGAAATTTTTCAGTTGCAGAGTAATCTGCTCTTTCGATCCACAATGTCGACTGGTACTTCCTCGTATGACAGATTCTCCCGAAGTGGAAGAGACTCGTGGGCCAAGACATAAGAGGGGTCCGGGTTGTACTTGCGTAGCATGAACACATGAAACAGATTATGAACTTTGGAAAGTTCTGGAGGCAGTGCTAGTTTGTAGGCGGCGGTATCAATTCTGTTTAAGACTTCAAATGATTCAATAAATCGGAGGTTCAGTTTTCCCCTCTTACCGAACCTATTAATTTCTTTGAAATGAGTGACCTTAAGGAACACCCGATCGTCTTTCTCAAATTCCAAATCTCTCCTTCGGGTGTCCGCATAACTTTTCTTCCTACTCTGAGTCATCTGAATGTTCTTCTTGATCTTAACTATTTTGGATGTAGTCTCTTCTACCAGATTTAGACCGAACAGTTTTCTATCGCCTATTTCTTCCCAACAAATTGGCGATCTGCATGGGCGCCCATATAACGTCTCATACGGAGCTATGTCAATACTCGCTTGGTAGCTGTTGTTGTACGCGAACTCTATCAGGGGTAGATGGTCATCCCAATGGCCCCCGGAGTCAGAACACAAGCTTGGAGCATATCCTCAAGTGTACGGATTGTCCTTTCTGACTGTCCATCGGTCTGAGGGTGGAATGCAGTACTAAGCGATAGTCGTTCTCATGACTTGCTAAAAGTATCCAAAACCGAGAAGTGAACCTGGGGTCCCTGTCGGACACTACTGTCACTGGTACTTCATATAATCTGACTATTTTCCGAATATACATTTTTGCTAATTTGTTCAAGGGATCGGTCATGCTGATGGTCAAGAAGTTGGAAGACTTGGCGAGCCGGTCAACAACTACCCAGATGGCATCATGTCCTAAGCGTGCCTTTAGATAATCCTGTCACGAAGTTCATTGTGATATGTTCCCACTTCCATTTCGGGATCGGTAATGGCTGAAGTAGCCCGCCTAGGCCTTGATGTTCTGTCTTGACCTGCTGACATACCAAATACTTAGAAACAATGTCAGCTATATCTCTTTTCATTCTGTTCCACCAAAATCGGGATCGCATACTTTGGTACATTTTAGTGCTTCCGGGATGCATGGCAAACTTTGAGCTATAGGCCTCTGTCATGATGTACCTCTTTAACTCACTGTCATCTGGAATACATACCCTGTCTTGGAATCTGAGCAACCTATCGGCGGAGACTCGAAATTCTGAGCTAACTCTCTGTTCTACATCTCTCTTAAGGGCTACTAGGGTGGAATCGACGGACTGAGCTTCCTTTATTCTCTGGATTAACTCAGGCTGAACGGTCAGGTGACCCAAACATGTGACTCTCCTCAAGTCTTGAAGTTGTACCTATTGCGTGGCCCCAATCTGCCTGCATTCTGAAATCATCAAATGGGTTAATGTACCTGCACTTTTTCTGCTGAGTGCATCAGCTACTACGTTGTCCTTACTTGGATGATACAAGATGTCGCAATCATAGTTCTTAAGAAGTTCTATCCACCTTCTCTGACGCATGTTGAGATCCTTTTGAGTGACTATATGTTTTAAACTCTTGTGATCGGTATAGATCTGAAAGG